ATTGATTTGGGGCAGAGTCCGCTTGGTTCTGACCGTGGGAACCACCATAAGATTGCTTCTCCGTTGCCACCGTTTTGGTTTACAAGCAAACGGCAGTCGCCGAAACCGTTGGGAGCAAAGAGTTACAGTAGTCCTATGTATGATGGTAAAGATGTTCTCTCGTTTGATGCTGCGGTTATGTCAGTTACTACTCAGGAGACAAACTCAACGCCGTCAAGGAACTTGAGGAGCTCTAGTAATCTCCAGATTCAAGAGATACAGGAAGAAAACGGCGGTGTGTTTCACGCAGGGTCTGGTTTTGGATCAAATGGCTCAAGCTCAAAGATTTCTTCAGATATGAAAGAGAATGCGATTAGACGAGAGACGGAAGGAGAGTTTAGGTTATTGGGGAGAAGAGGTACTAGTAGTACTGGTGGGAGGCTTTATGGTGTGGAAGATGAACAACCGAGCAGAGGGACACGAGTTTCGTTTAACATGGACCGTGTGAGTCAGAGTCTTGACCAAGGTGAAGCTTCTTTGGCCTGTGTGTATGACGAAAGCGATGGCGAAAACCAGAATGAGGAGGAGGATGATTGGGAGAGAAGAAGAGAACCTGAGATTGTTTGCAGCCATATTGACCATGTGAATATGTTAGGACTTAACAAAACCACAAGTAGGCTCAGGTTTCTGATTAACTGGCTTGTGATCTCTTTGCTGCAACTGAAAGTTCCTGAATCTTCAGGCGGTGACGGAAGACACATGAATCTTGTGCAGATTTATGGTCCAAAGATCAAATACGAGAGAGGAGCAGCGGTTGCTTTCAATGTGAAAGACAAAAGCAAAGGCTTTGTGAGTCCTGAAGTTGTTCTGAAACTTGCTGAAAGAGAAGGTGTGTCTCTTGGTATTGGTATCTTGAGTCACATTCGGATTATGGATAGCCCTAGGAGTCATCGTGGTGGCGCTAGGATCAAGGAAGATAGCTCTTTGCATCTACAGAGAGATGGTGGTGGTAAGCGAGGTGGGAAGAATGGGTTTGTGAGGTTTGAAGTTGTCACAGCTTCTCTTAGCTTCTTGTCGAATTTTGAAGATGTTTATAAGCTATGGGCGTTTGTGGCCAAGTTCTTAAACCCTGGTTTCAGCAGAGAAGGTTCGCTTCCTACTGTGATTGAAGAAGAAGCAGAAGAAGATTCAGAGACTTGATGATTGGCTTCTTTTGAAAACAAAAGGCAGAAACTTTTTGAGCCTTTGACAATTGAAGGAGGGTTAGAAGTAGAACTGTGAATTGAGAGTTGCTATATAGTTTTTTAGTTATTTTTGCTGCTCTGTTTCAGTTGTTCAGGAATGTCAGATAGGAGAGAACAATTCTTGTAATTTGGAAAGCAGAACATGTTTTGGCCAAAGATTCCATCTTTAGTGAAGAGAACACAGTTATGCATTTGTTCTCACAGTAATCCTCGTTAAGCTCAGCTTTGTTTTCTTTCTCTCTGAATCCTTTTTCCATGTATATATATATCTTGAGAAGTTATTTGGAGCTTTACAAAATATTTTTAAAACCAAAAAAATATTCAACTTATGACTCTTGGCAAATTGCATAGACACAAAAAACGGACAAATCACAAACCTTCCTATATTGCGAGCTTGGTGCATTTTGTTATACTCTTCTAGATCAACCTCAATGTTCTTTATCCGTTTCTTATAATTTATAAGCAGAAATCTTATATTATTTGTATTGTTGGGATATCAAGAAAAGAAATGTCTAATATATAAGAAAAATCCAACTCCAACCAATATAAGACATAATATGAGATATTTTTGGGAAGAAGTACAAAGATATGTCACTAGGATCCAAAGTGAATAATATCATACTATTGGAGAAGTAGACATAGCCTTAATAGTCCAACAATTGGTATAAGAAGGAAATGGGAGTGTGCTACATGTTTGTTGTGGGAAAAAACCCTCAAATATGATCTTGCGATTAGAGATGCCAGTACGATGATTGTTATTGTTCCTTAAGGGTCTGACTGGTTTAACCGCTGCGGTTGCGGTTGCGGGTGCGGGAGTTTGCGGAAGCGGGCGGTTGTGATTAGTAGCGTTATTAAGCGGTTTGTACGACTGGCATAACAATTGAAAATGGATGCGTTTGCGGGATACTTATGACTGGTTCACTTGCGGATGCAATAGCGGTTAAACAATAAATTAATAATATAAACACATTATATAATTATAAAAATATCAAAACTATATTATAATGAAAATTTTAAATTTATGGTTCAACATAATTAAAAATAATTTTTTTATAAAGAATAATATGTGTATAATACTTACGTCTATTTTTTAATTTCTATAATTTAAATAAAAAATGTGATTTTATTTTCAAAATATATATTTAATGTGAAAATTAAATTTATTTTACAATTTTATTTATTAGATATATATGTATTAGTATGAAAAGAATATTTATGAAGAGAATTTTGATTTGTAGAACTTATAAATATATAAGTATTATATGATTTTAATGAATATTGACTAAAAGTACTAATTTTTTATTTATATTGTGATTTTATTATCCAAATCTTATTTTTTAATAAATATTATTATTTATTTTCGGATTTTATATAAGTTTGTGTTTTTTTTTTTTTAATTATCCACCCGCAACCGCCCGCAACCGCAAACGCTTGCGGAAAGGAGCTTTTGATTTTCAGCGATATAGAGCGGTACAGAGTGGTATAGAGCGATTCAAAGCGGTTGTCGTGATTGTTATAAACCGCCGAAAACCGCTACGAACCGCAAACGCTGCGTTTGCGGGTGGTAGCGGGAGAACCAATCAGGCCCTAAGTCGAGGTAACTATTCTTACACTATCCGTAGTAAAAAGAAATACCAGTACGATGATTGTTATTGTTCCTTAATTGTTGCTTTATAGGATCCTATAAAGATTGCTCTCAATCCAAATCGGACCGGATGAACGAAACCAAATCGAACTAAATTTGATTTTTTATTTATTTATCAGTGAAACCATTCAAAACCTACCTAAACCAGCAGTTTATGATTCTCGTTAATATTTTGCTTGACCGGTTTGTCAAATGAATAGCATGAAGAAACTGAATTGAAAAACATAAATAAAAAAGCATAAGTTAAATAACACTAAAAATAGAACGGTAAAAACAGTCGGATCAAAAAGTAAACGGGCAAAATAAATAGAAAAATGACTTGTATTTGTTACGTTTTGTCATTCCATTCAGAATATTGTAAATTTGGCATGGAAAACAGAAAACGATACATGCCATAAGGCCCATAACCCTCACATTTTGCACCTCTACTTGGTTTTGCCTCTCTAACGATCTTTATTTTTTTAACATGTGAAGGGTGATCGCAAGTATTTCGTAAACTTTATTGATAATCATGGTGGAGAATCTCAAGATCAGGCGACGACAATAATGTGTATCAGCTTCATGTTACATGTTTTACCTCGCAAACCGATCATATGACAGATGGAATTATGTTTTCAAGTATTTATATGAGTCTCCCTCGCTACTTGCAAGGCTTGCATCGTTATTTTCCCCTTTTTATGTGTTGTTCAAGAAACCGGTTATGTTTGTAACGATATACACTACAAATAAATGGATTTTAATGTTCTTTGTTGAGGTCTTACATAGTGAAATCCGTAACAGACTAGTAATTAATTATTATATAGATGTGGAAGCGATTTAAGGATAAAACATTAATAATTTATAAATTGATGAACCAAAAAAAACAACATAAATAATTTTATAATCTGGAGCATCTGTACTGTGTGGGAGACCAAATTAAAGACCGTTTGATCAATTGGCTAAATTTGTTTTAAGAGAACGCAAATTAATCTGAAATTTTTATTCGCCAGGTGAGGACTGACATGCACGACAGTATGGCACACTGAAGAGTTTAAACATTCGAGAATTGAAGCAGCAAATGGATTTGAGGACAAGACTCATCGTGCTATACCACTAAGATAACTAGACTAGACATAGTATTTTGTTGTTTTGACTGTTTAAATTCTGCAGATTAAAATTTTATTGGTTGAATTTTCTTGTAAATATGATAAAACATGTTTTGTTTTGAAAAAAATAGAAAATTAAATAATTTCTTAATAGGTGTGTATAATTTCAAAATTCCACTTATTTCAGAACAGATGACAATATATTATTTAGTTCTCTTGTTAATATGTTAAGCAAATAAAGTTAAAACTGGAAATTTGGCTTAAAATATGTAATGTAAAATGATATTTATATTGTAAAAAAAAAGAGCTAAAATTTCCAGTATATGCCAAATAGATATTTTCTGGATAAATTTTAGTTATTATGAAATTGATGAAGTATATGCAGATAGATAAGGCAAAAATATCATCGATACCATCATTATTTTACATAGTCGATACCATCATTATTTTATGACATTTTGTTAGATAAGGCAAAAAATAATTCACCAGTCTCAATCGATCCATCCCTACAAATTAAAGACTGATACAGAAGCCCGAAATGCATGTAGATGCAAAATTATGAGTTGTTCACAAAATTGGGTTAAACGTGGGAAAAAATAACAAAATGAACAAGTATGAAATTACAAAAGTCAATAAATACTCTAATTTTTACAACCACCAAAATTGATGGAAGCACTGCACATTTTGATTTGTGGATTCTTGAAGGTCCCAAGAGAAAGGAATGGTAGAAGGATATCCACATATTGTCTCCTTTGTAGAAGAAGATAGTTTGAGGAACGGATTTCAAAAATACCACCTTCTTGTCAAAATTACACAAACTTATATAATACTCTCTCTATTTCCTTTTACTTGTCTTTTACTTGTCTTGGTAGGCTGTTTTGTGTATAAGAAACTAACTAGATTTATTGGATTTACTCCAATTTAATACATTGGAAAATAATAATATAGGAAACGAAAATTCAAAAAGACATATGCCAAGACCTTTCTATAAAAGACAAGAGGGTTCTTAGTTAGAGCTGTACTCATCAAAACAATTTAATCTAAAACATGCCAACCCAAGTGAGCTCATCGATCCCTTTAATGGTCGAGAAGAAACTTTCCGAAATGGTGAAACCCTCAAAATCCATACCTTATCAAATCCTTTCCCTCTCAACACTTGACAATGATCCTTTCGATGAAGTTACTTACAAGATGTGTTACGTTTTCAAACCCAAGAACGTTGATGATGATGACCGACCGGAATCTCTGCTTAGGGAGGCTTTGTCCGATCTTCTCGGCTACTACTACCCGCTTTCAGGGAGTTTGAAGCGTAAGGAGAGTGATCGGAAGCTTCAGGTAAGCTGTGGCGGCGATGAGGGCGGCGTGGCGTTCACGCAGGCTACTGCAAATGTGGAACTCTCTTCTTTGGAGAATCTAGAGAACATTGACTTAGATACGGCCTTGAAGTTCTTGCCTGAGCTTCAAGAGGACAAAGATGGTTATCGACCTTTTGCTTTGCAGGTAAACACATCATTGATATGTTTCATATAAGTTTTTGCCTGAGCTTCACTGTCGCTGGTAATTGTAAAATGAACATGATTTTTTTTTTGGTTTTAACATGATTTTGTTAATGGATTGCTATCGTAATCGCTACGGTAATTAAACGACTACAAAAACAAACACGCATGCATGGCATATTCATTTTTTTTTTTTTTTTTGGCGACATGCATGGCATATTCATTAAAAGAGAGAAAGTGATATATTATATAAATTTGATCATGTCGGAATTTTTTTAGAGAATTTAAGAACGATAAAAGATTAGAAACTTAATTAAAAATCAAGAACTTTAGTATATTATATAAAGAATTTCATCAGGGCACTTCTCTTCTTTTTTTTTTTTTTTTTTTATGCATTAGGGAACTTCTTCGTAAAAATTAATGGACTTGTGTTTCTTTAAATTAATTTGTATGTCGTGATTGAGAATAATATTACACATTAATTTAAGAATAGTGTAGACAGCATATTTGGACTAGCTAGATCTTGTAATTTCTTACGAACTTTTCCGACTTTAGTTTTAGTGATATTAATAAAATGATATACTCGTCAAAGGCATTAATTAGTTTAAGTAGTACATTCGATGTTCTGTTATCTTGGTCCAAACCTGATTACATGTGTATAGTATATTTTCTCCAAGACAGGTGACCAAATTCGTGTGTGGAGGATTCGTGTTAGGAATAGCTTCATCGCATGCAATGTTTGATGGATATGGCCTGGGTCATACCATGTGTGCCTTGGCGGAGTTGGCTGGCGAGCACAAAAAACTGACGGTGACACCGATTTGGGAAAGAGAGAGACTTGTGGGGAAGCCTGAAATCGATCGACCTCCCTTTGTTCCCGGTGGAGCCACGGCTGCTTCGCCCTACTTACCTACCGATGATTGGGTATGTGTGCACAAAACAAGACTATCATGCATGATTACTACTATCTATTAAAAGGTTAAGCATGGTTGACAAATAACTAAGGTGTAGCATTTTAGAGAATAGTCTTTACAATATATTTCAAAAGATTATCATATTTTTTTAAGGTTTTTTCCAAATATATCACCACTAGCTAGATTAATTCAACAATTAAATTATATAACCAAAATATTATACTAGATCTTCAAGTTTATCCTATCCGTATTTATATTTTGTTACCAGGTAACTGAAAAAATAAATATCAGAGCCGGGAGCATAAGAAGATTGAAAGAAGCTGCATTGGAAGTGTATGACTTCTCTAACGAGACACCCACTACTTTCGAAGTTTTAAGTGCTTATTTATGGAAGTCAAGAGTCAAAGCTCTAAATCTTAATAAAGATGGAGTCACAGTTTTGGTTTTTTGCGTGGGAATCCGAAACGCTGTGGATCCTCCTTTGCCCGACGGATATTACGGCAATGCGCACATTGATATGCATGTGCCCTTAACCGTAAGAGAAGTGAAAGAATTCGAGATTTCAGACATCGTTAAGCTCATAAAAGAAGAGAAGAAGAAGGCTCATGATACAAAATTTCTCAAAGAAGAGCTTGCGAACCTGGAAAATGTACTTCAAATGAACTTAACCATCAAAAGAAACAGAGATGGGTTATTGTTTTTGACAGATTGGAGAAATCTTGGGATTTTTGGATCGATGGATTTTGGGTGGGGTGAACCGGTTAATATTATCCCGGTGGTCCCATCGGAGTCGGCTAGGATGATGAATATATTCATGCGACCGTCGAGGCTGGAATCGGAGATGGTCGGAGGGGTTCAAGTTATGGTTACATTACCGAGAGCTGCAATGGTTAAGTTCAAAGAAGAGATGAAGGCTCTAGAGTGAAGGCTTAACTAGTCAGTCTTTCTTTTGTTATGTGGAAAATTCAATAAAACATGCGATCATAATAACAAGAAGAGTAATTTATTGTTTGTTGAAATCCTTGTTTATTTTCATTTTGTACTTGTAACTATAAAAATACATTATTGAACATCTTTCTTTCAAACAACATTATGGAATTTTTCAGGAGAAGAAAAAAAAAGTAAAAACTTAAAAGCTTATGTCTTCAGACAAGACCTTAATTTTGACCGTCTCTCTTCAGTGTTGATTAGTTGTTGTCGGGAAGCTGGAATCTGGGCCAAGCGATAAAGGCTCATGTGGAGCCCAATACATTACAAATCTCAGCTCATGCTTCCCCACTCGCAAAACAAACGAGTCACTCTCACGCGCCCCTTTCTGATCACCTCAAGATTTTCTTCTGCCGTTAAACCCTAAACCTGCCGGAAAATTAGAAACAGAGACAACACTGGGAAACTGAAACTCGCCGGGAAATAGCAACAAAATCCCCAGTAACTCTGATGCATTCATCTCTGCAATCAAATTCAAGCTCTCGTCTTTATCTAAACCCATGTAAATCAAAGTTAACACAATATCCAATCTTCTTCCATTTTCCCCAATCGAGAAAACTCTCAGATATCCCCAGAAAGTCTCTGAGAACTTCAATTGATTTCGAGCAAGAAGGAGTTTCGAAAGAGGAACAACTCGTCGTGCCCAGTAACGGAACTCTGCTTCCGATTGTAATCAAAAACTCCGGCAGAGTTTCTAGATACTTACTCAAAGGAGATTCCTTGGAGTTGGTATGCGTCGATGAAGACTATCATGATGATTCGACGCCGTTTTCAGCTCCTGGCCTCTGGAAATTGATCAGACTTTCATCTTCCGCTGCTAAAGACTTTTTCATACCGAAACAAGTGAATGATAATTATATAAGTTATGTCAAATGGAAGTTTTTGCACAGAGTTTTCAGCTCTGCTCTTCAGGTTCTTGCCACTCAGGTAAATCAAATTTTACTGCTTTAATATCATAAATTCCAAGACTTTGAAATTGGAATTGTACATAAATTGGCAAATGTTTCCTTGTTTTAGGCTATGTTTAGAGCCATAGGAATTGGACAGTCTCGGTCACTTGCTTCGTCTGCTGCTTTTAATTGGATACTGAAAGATGGGCTTGGAAGGTTAAGTAGATGTATATACACTGCAAGTCTTGCTTCTGCCTTTGATACAAATCTGAAGGTAATAAGTATTGACTTTCATCAAATTGGAGTTGAAAATTAGTTCTTGAAACTTTTGTTACTTTGTTGTCAAAGAGAGTTAGGTTCTCGACGTCTGTGCTCTTTAGTCTGAGCATTGGAGTTGAGTTAATGACTCCAGTATTCCCACAATACTTCCTTTTGCTCGCTTCCATCGCCAATATTGCGAAACAGATTAGCCTGTCGTGCTACTTAGCAACCGGTGTAAGGTTTCTATATCATTGACTCTCCATGTGACTTTAGTGTTTTTTTGTGTTTGTGACAATGAATGTTTCCACATGTGTAGTCAGCTGTGCATAGGAGCTTTGCTGTAGCGGACAACCTCGGTGAAGTCTCTGCAAAGGCACAGATTCAAACCGTGTGTTTCGATAACCTTGGTCTATTACTTGCGGTTCTTCTTAACATGCTATTCCGGAACAACCAAAGGTTAGATCACTCTAGTGTTGTTGAGTTTGCGAGATCCTTTTTGCAGAATCTTCCTGACTCTTGCTAATGTTGTTAGACTTCAGGCAAGTCTACCTTTTGTTCTGTATCCGATATTCTCAGCGATTGATCTTCTTGGCATTTATCAAGGACTCAAGCATATCAATCTGCAAACTTTAACCAAGGTAGCTTTTCGTTATCTCGGTTATGAGAACCCGGACAAATGTTATTTAAGTTTAATTTTGTTCTTTCTCTTATCAGAATAGGCTTGAGATAATTCTTGAAAGATGGATTGAATCCCGGCGAGTACCTTCTCCTGCTGAAGTGAGCCAAGAGGAAGGAATTGATCTTTTAGGAAGCAGAGGTGAAAAAAACAAAAAACCTTTCAAGGCTATTCACTTTTCGGATAGTGTAGCTTATTACAGGTTAATAAGCTGAACTCTTTGTATGTTGTTTGTAGCTAGTAAAAAGGTTTGGCCTATCAGAATTGGATGCTTAGATCCAAAAGCTCAGATTCCAAAGCTATCGATAATGGGAATGCAATCACTCTGCAAAGATGATGGTTACTTCATAACCGTGGCACTTTCTTCTCAAGGTTTCAGAAGAACACCAAAAGTGAGTTTTATACATATGCTAACTCACACGTCCTCATGTCCTTACTGTTCTCTGGTCTGATTCTTGCCACTTGTTAAAATGTTTAGCCCGGGATCGTTATTTGTCTGCGTGAAGGAGCCAACACTGTAGACGTTATCACGAGTTTGTTACAGGTAAAAAGGATTCAGCTAAGCTATTTTGTTCATAATAGTGTCAATCCATAACACATTACATTTTGGTTGGTTTGTTTCAGGCATGTTACATACGTAAAGCCTTTGGAACCAGTGGAATCAAGAGAAGAGACGTGTCAATTTCAGTAGAAGATTGGTCTTTACTCGTAGGAGAGAGCAAGCGAGCTTCACAAGATGATTTTATCACACTGAACAAACAAATGCAAGAACAAGGTTGGATTGTGAAGAACGTCTTGTTAAGTGCACAAGAGCAAGTTAGATACATTTTCGACAAAAAACTGTAACAATCACTCAAACTGTAACATAAAAAGAAGAATCATCATCATCAGTTAAATTGTAACTGTTTTACACAGAGATTGGGTTGTAAATTGAAGTACACTTGTTAAAAAAAAATCTACGTGGTAATAATAATCTATACAATACACAAGAAACTTGTTACCATTTACATTAAGAACTCTTTTGTGAAAACAATCAATTTGAGAAGGAACTTGGCTCAGTGCTGTACATAGAGTAATCACTCAAGCAGATGTTTGTTCTCTCCTCACTCCATTTCAGTATCTCCATAGCAAGCTTCAGCGACGAATCAACACTGTTCGGGTCCAAACTCTTACTCGAAGAAACAAACAGCTTTTTACCGGTCAGCGAAGAGTAAAACCGCTTGAACTTCACCGCCATGTAATGAAACGCGAGCTGACCTAAAGTAGGGTTACCGTTGTTGGAACGGTGACGACTGACCACGGGGTTGAAGTCTTGGAACCACTCGCAGCGTGTCAGAGGAACGCGTTCGACTTTCTCTTCGAGGAGATCGGATTTGTTGAGGATCAAGAGGAAGTCCATGTGCTCAAAGATCGGATGAGTGATGATGCTTTCGAAGAGTTTCTTGGTGAGTAACATCTTGTTGGTTCCGTCTTCTGAGACCTGGTCGTAGTCGCTCATCGAAACGACGAACACAACCATCCCTACGTCTTCAAACATATCGATCCATTTGCAGTTTTCACCGAGGCCTCTTGAAGGTACTCTTATTAACTGGTACCTGAAATTAACATAAGAAATGTCTTCAACTTCAAGAAATTGGAACTGACTTTGAATATAAACGGATTGGCACTTACCTGAGGAAAGAATCAGTGTGATCAGAAGGATCAAGATTCTCTTCAGAAGCAGTTTGCGGAAATGAGAAGTCAAGACAAGCTAGACCACTGGACGAAGTGACTCCTTCTGCATATAATATATCCAAATCCGACGGCTCGTAGTCTGGTGTCAATACGTCAACAGCCTGAAGAAGGAAAAACGCAGTTTCTTTAGCAGACTAATAGCTTAAAGTTGAGAGAGCAAAAGAGGTAGTAGTGAAGCGCTTATTATTACCCGTTCCAAGAAGTAACTAGCGACACTGGGAAGGAGTCCTAGCTCGCTTCTACGCTTGTACGTAGCTTGGATCGCTGCATCTCTCCATAACTCCTCAACGAGCGGGGCATACTCACGGGAAGCTGCGGGGAAAATGACAGCGAGATTTCCAGCAGCCATTGTCTTTAGTAGCCAATCAGAAAACGCCTTAAGCCTTGGGCCAATGGAGTACAAGGTTTTGATGTTGCTTTTAGCATCTCCTGTTAGCACACAGAAACCAAATAAAGATGTCATTTCATGATTGGCTATTTTAGGAGCTCAAGATAAGTTAGGAGCTGAAAATTTACGCACCTTCCTCTGCAGGACTATTTTCGATGACACACTGCTTCGTGTTCATGAGAGAAAGAGCCTCTTCTTCGAATCGTTCCCGGCCCTCGAGAAGCATACCGAGATAACCATACACATTGGTCTGGATAATCACCTTTATATTCTCACGCTCATCCTCCAAGAATGGTATGTCCTTGTAAAGAATCTTTGCCTGAAACAAGAAAGTGGTCCAGTGCGTTATATATGTATTCGTGCTTACAATAATAAACGTATAAAGATTTATTTATAAGAAGAAACTCATACCTGCTTGAAAATCGTGCTAGTTCCAGAGCCACTGTTACCAACCAAGAGAATTTTCTGCAGAGTCCTATGCTCAAGGTGGTCCAAAATGCTTCTGCTGTTTGCACTGTGAAGCTGGTCTCCAGAAGCATTCGCAGCAGATTTTGATGGAACAGGAAGTGACAATACAGCACAAAGTAACTTGGTCCCAGCCTGAAAAAAGCAGCCAAATTTTTGTTATCGGAGAAGAAAACGCCAAATTGAGCATTAAATGGAATAAAAACAACAAACCTTTCCCCATATGTATCCTTTGGTATTCTTCTGTCCTTCTTCTTGATACGAACCATCCTCGTTCACCCAAAAATGAGGATTCCCTGCACATTGCACTCCTGCCAACTGCAAACACATAGCAACAGAGAAAGATCAACAATGGCAATCAAAAGCTAGAGAGACTTATACACTTCAAAAAGATTCCAAAACCTGCAGCATTCTTAGCTCCACTTTCGTAATCTCACGTCCGTTTATGAAAACCTGAGTGTTCCCATTGCTAGCTTCAGCACTAATAGAACCTCCAACATTCAAATGAGGACTAATTATCTGATAAGGCTTCTCTCCTTCCTGTGGAACATCAATTATATATCAAATAAACGTTCTTGAAATACATCAGAGACTAAGAACACAAAAATCTCAAAAAGGACTCACCTTTCCCCAAAGTCCAGACACTTTATCATACCAATAATCTCCAGGTTTAAGCTTCTTCGGAGGATTAGAGCAAGTCTGCAGCGTCACAAGCTCTTCATGGTAAAGAGGCTGCCCATTCACATACACATACTCTGCAGGTAACTGATTAGCTTCACAGAACCTCTCAGTCTTCATAATCTGCTTCACTTCCAAGTCATTAAGCAGCCTCTTAAGCATCCTCGAGCACTTCCCCAAATTCCCTCGCTTAGATTCATCTATAGGGAAACCGATACAAGAAACGCATTTCCTTCCTTCAGGCATCGACCCCATAGCTCTAAGCACACAGCTACTACAGTACTTGGCATCACACACAAGGCAAACTTCTTTCTCCGTGAATCTACTCCCTTTGAAACATCTGTAGCAAGAGCCTTTCTTCCCTTTTGTTTGCGGCTGTTTCTTCACCGGAGCCACACGGATCCGCTTCTGGTTGCTACAGTCTTCTTCTTCCTCATCATCGGAAGCAATACCTAAGAACGTCACAACTGGTTGCTGCTTCCTATCTCCGTTTGTTTCACTCACGCAATCTCCTGTAACTCTCGAAGATGGATAATCGATGCTTAGAACCGATTCGTTACATGAATCGTTCAAATCTAAGCTCTCTTCTTCTTTCTCTTGACGATTCACCGATTCGGATAACTCGCCGGATAATCCGCAGTTCGAGCTGCTCAGCTCGCAATCGGCGCCGTTTTCCTCCTCCGTCTGCTCCTCGAAGACGATGACGGAAGTAGGAGAGACAGTGATGGAATCGGAGACTAATTCAATGTCGCTGGATTCTTCTCCTCCGCCTCCGCCGCAATTGCTAATCGCGGAAGAAGGAACAACGACCATTTCTCTCAGAAACTTCTTGTTGCTCAGAGGATCCACGGCTAGAATCGGCTGAATCACGGGAAACGACATGTCGTCGGAGATGCAGACCGGAGAAACCACGGCGGCGACTGGGATTCTCTCCATGTTAATCGGAACGGCGCGAGGGATGTCGTAGGATAACGGCGGGCCGTCGTATTCGACGGCGAATAAACACTCGTCGTCGTCTTCCCGGATCGAATCCGGTTTCTTCGTCTTCAGTGACATTTCTGATTTTTTCTTCACCAAACCCTAACTTTTTTTGCTTCAGAAGTAAGGGAAAGCAAAAAAACACTGATACAGTAGACCAACAATACACCAACAAAAATTTCCAGCTAAACACAGACTAAAATCAAAGAAGAGTCAAAATTACATGATGAGTTTTTTAGGGTTCTTGTTTGTTGTTAAGCTTTAAGAATCAGAGAGAGGAAGAGAGAAGAAGAAACAACAAGTGGGGGAAGAAGAGAAAAGGGGAATGGAAAAGAAAGCGATTGAAAAAAGATGAAGAACCACTTAGCTGGAATCTTGTTCGATAATTTTTTTGTTTTAATATATTGTTTTCATTTTTGGTTACTTTTGCTTTTGGAATTTTTTTTAAAAGGATCAACGAAGAAAGAAAAATACGTGGGACCCATTTAGATGGATTAAGGACAAGAACACAAATTGTCTTATTCGACGTCGTTACGAGATCGGAATTTGAGCTCTCTTCACGTGGGTTACATGAACAGTAAAAACTTCTCATCTTTTTTACCTTTGCTTTTTGAAAAATTTTCTCTCTGATTTGGTCCGAAATTTGCGCTTCAACAATATTAGACTTTTTGGGCTTTGGATTTGTGTAAACCCATTAGTACGTAGACTGTGCTAATAAGACCAATATCCTTAGCCCATTAAGTTGTCAACGAATATTATTCTGTTTTTTTTTTTTCTCTTGTCAACCAAGAAATCAATCGGTTCACTTTGTAACGACGACTAAATCCGCCGCATTATCATCCTCCGAAGCCCTATCCCCGCCGTGAGGATCTAACAGCGACGCGAGAGCTATGGAAGCAGAGAAGACACAAAGGTATGTTCTTTGTATAATCTTAGATTCTAGGGTTTCAAAACTGTAAATTCCAAAACATAAAACAAAAAACTCACGTTGATTCGATGATTTTGGCTTTTGACAGCAAAAGAGGTGGTGAAAGTATTGATGATCAGAGAGACAGGATTAGTGAGTTGCCCGACGCTTTGATTCTCCAGATACTGTCTCTGCTTCCGACAAAGTCTGCCATAGCTACAAGTGTTTTGTCTAAACCATGGCAGTTTCACTGGAAAATGTTGCCTAAACTCAAGTTTGATCATTGCGATCACATAACTGAACGCGGGACGTTATCAAAGAATGTTTGCAAGGTTTTGCTTTCCCACAAAGCTCCGGTGCTAGAGAGTTTGCATATCGATATTAGGTCAGGCACCTGTTATAATACGGATATTGAAACGTGGGGTGAAATCGCAAACTCAAGGCTTGTGCGAAACTTGGCGATCCATGTTGAAACCTGGAAATCTTTTTACACCTTTCCTAAAAGCTTGTATAACTCTGAGACACTAGAGACATTGACACTCAAGGGTTTTGTTTTTGAAGAAGATGTTGCTGTTCCGTCTTCTCAAGTTTGTCTCAAGTCACTTAAAACTCTGCATATTCAGTCTGCGTTCTTCAGAGGCGAAGAGTTTGTTAAACTTTTATCTGGCTGCGCTAATCTTGAGAATTTGCTGTTGGATTTATGTGGATACTTGTGCAAAGTGAAGACTTTCGCTATTGCCGTGCCATCTTTACAAAGACTATCGATTTATGATAGTTATGATAGTGGACGAGATTGTGGATATGTGATCGATGCTCCTTCGTTGAAGTACTTGAAGATTGAAGGGGAACATGGTCTCAAGTTTCGTCTGACTGAGAATGTGACGAAGCTAGAGGAAGCATATATCGTTGACGTCTCTTATCATACAATCAATGAGAATCTTCTGGAATCTCTAACTTCGGTCAAACGTCTTTCCTTGGAATTAGTACCCTTGAAGGAGGTAGATTTCTTGCAACCCAAGTTATTAACTATTATAAGTTTATGACATTGTTTCTGTACTAATTATATTGACTGCCTCATGCATTAGGTTAAGTTTCCTACTGATAGCATCTTCTACCAACTGGTATCTTTGGAGATATATACAAGTACAAACGCATGGTGGGATCTTTTAACTTTCATGCTCGATAGTTCTCCTATATTGCAAGTCCTCAAGCTCATTAATGTAAGCAATGTTTCATCTTTCGGTAAACTTTAAATTGGTTTTAGGTTATAATGATCTAGTAATAAGGTAATATGTATTTGTGTTTCACCTCATGATTAGACTCAGAAGCGAGGTGGTTGGAGACAAGGTTTCGTGGCTGGTAGGAAATGGAAGCAACCAGAGAATGTTCCTGAATGTCTGTTGTTTCATCTCGAGACGTTCATGTGGACTGGCTCCGACGAAGGTCTAGTAGAGGAGGAGAAAGAAGTTGCGAAATACATTCTTAAGAACACAAATCTTTTGGAGAGAGCAAGCTTCTCCTCGATACGCATGAGTTCTGAAGATAGGCTTGAGCTTGAGTGTGTGGTGAGGGCTTCAAATTCATGCCAGATTCTTTTCGAATGATGCTTTAATATTAGGAGAGTTTTTGTTCTCACAGCTAACTCTTACTATATGCTTTTAGTTCAACCTGTATTTACATATGGATGTTAAGTTTCATATCTACGTTTGAGGATGGTAAAATGAAAAAGAAAACGACAATTTGGAGAGCAGAAGAAACGTCTTATTTACATGACCAGTAAAAACTTCTCATCTTTTTATCTTTGCTTTTTGAAAAAAATTCTCACTGATTTTGGTCCGAAATTTGCGGTTCTATTTATCGGGCTTTGGGTTTCCTTAACCAATTAAGTTGTCAACGAAGATTTTTTTGTTTTTTTATTGTCGGTAAAAAAAATGTTTAATTAAAGTCAACCAAGAAATCAATCTATTCACTTTGTAATATATAACGACGACTAACTCCGCCGCATTGACATCCTCCGAAACCCTACCCCCGACGTCTGATTCTACTCTTTCCGCTATCTTATCTATCATATTGCAGCCGAATTAAACAAGTCATATAGGATTTAACAGCGATGGCAGCGAAGAAGACACAACGGTATGTCCTTTGTATAATCTAGATTATGAGGTTTCATAACTGTATATTCCAAAACATGAAACCAAAAACTCAACGTTTTGTTGATTCGATGTTTTTGGCTTTTGACATCAAAAGAGGTGGTAAACGTATTGATAATCGAGCTGTTGTGAAGAAAGACTGGATTATTGAGTTGCCTGACGTTTTGATTGTGAAGATATTGTCTCTGCTTCCTACAAAGTCTGCCATAGCTACGAGTGTTTTGTCTAAAAAATGGCAGTTTCATTGGACAATGTTGCCCAAACTCAGTTTTAATAATTGCAATCACACAACTGAACGAGGGACGTTTTCAAAGAATGTTTGCAAGGTTTTGCTTTCCCATAAAGCTCCCGTTCTAGAGAGTTTAAATCTCAGTTTTAGTCCATACAACTGTGAAGATATGGATATTGAAACGTGGATTGAAATTGCAAACGCAAGACATATCAGAAACTTGGTACTCGATGTTGAGTGCAAGTCATTTTATTACAGCTTTCCTAAAAGCTTGTATCACTGTGAATCACTGAAGACCTTGATACTCAAGCTTCTGGTTTACGTAAATGTCCCTTCTAAAGTTTGTCTGAAGTCCCTTAAAACTCTTCATCTTCACTCTGTGTACTTCGGAGACAAAGCATCGTTGGTTCACTTTTTATCTGGTTGCCCTAATCTTGAAAACTTGTTGTTGGGTCTTCGTGGATACTTCTCCGGAGTGGAGGTGACTCAGAGTACTATTTCGGTGCCATCGTTACAAAGACTATCTATTTATGTTTATAGTATCTATGGTAGAACAATGGGTTGTGGCTATGTGATCGATGCTCCTTCTTTGAAATACTTGAAGATTGAAGGGGAACATTGTCTCAAGTTTCGTCTGACTAAGAATGTGACGAAGCTAGAGGAGGCAGATATCGTTGACGCCTCTCATACAATTAATGAGAATCTTCTGAGATCTTTAACTTCTGTTAGACGTCTTTCCTTGGAACTATTACCCTTGAAGGAGGTAGATTTCATGCAACCCAAGTTATTAATGATTATCACATTGTTTTTGTACTAATTACTAATTATACTGCCTCATGCACTAGTTTAAGTTTCCTACTGGTAGCATCTTCAACCAATTGGTGTATTTGGAGATATATACAACTACGAACGCATGGTGGGATCTGTTAACTTTCATGCTCGATAGTTCTCCTATATTGCAAGTCCTCAAGCTCATTAATGTAAGCAATGTTTCATCTCTTTGTAAATTTTCCAGGTTTTGATGATCTAGTAATAAGGTAATATATAATTGTGTTTTCCTCTCATGATTAGACTCAGAAACGAGATGGTTGGAGACAAGGTTTAAAGGCTAATAGGAAATGGAAGCAGCCAAAGAATGTTCCTGAATGTTTGCTGTTTCATCTCGAGACGTTCATGTGGACAGGCTCCGACGAAGGTCTAGTAGAGGAGGAGAAAGAAGTTGCGAAATACATTCTAATGAACACAAACCTTTTGGAGAGAGCAAGTTTCTCCTCAATACGCATGAGTTCTGAAGATAGGCTTGAGCTGGAGAGTGTGGTGAGGGCTTCAAATTCATGCCAGATTCTTTTCGAATGAAACTTTTATATTAGGAGAGTTTTTTTTTTTTCACAGCTAACTCTTACTATATGCTTTTAGTTCAACCTTTATTTATCTCTGTTTTGGATGTTAAGATCCATATCTACGTACGTTTGAGAATGGAAAATGAAAAAGAAAAATAAATCGTGCTTTTACCTATTTAATTTTTAAGGCGATATAATCTTTAGCAGAAGCTTCTAATTAAGAAGCTGCGGAGGAAGTTAGGGTTTGAGGGTATCAAAGCTTTTTTGAGTTTTGGCATTGTAATACATTTTTCTTATTTTCATTCACAGTTTCTTCTTGTCTCCTCCCTTTTCTGCTCCTTAACAAACATAGCTCTTTCGATTTGTACATGAAAGAACATTCTGGAGAAGTTCAATGAAAGCCGGTGTTAAAAGAGAAATAAAAATTGACATATTTAATTTTTTATCTGTTG